TACATTTTCACCTAAATTTAGTAGTTTTTCTACCCGAGTGCCTTTGTTAAAAAAGTAGAGCATCCCAAGGGCTACGTTTTCATCCGAATAGAGTTGGATTCAACTTCACCTGAATTTCTTCCTTGCTTTGCTCATCTCCTAGCTTTGAGGTAGGAATTTTCTATACTCTCCTATGGTTTTTAACTTAGCTATTTGTTGGTATAAACAAGGTTGTGATTTTGGAAAATTTTGAACAAACCTAGGGTTTTGGTTTAAAATCAAAAGAGGGATTTCTCTAATGTGTTCTTGAAAATGGTTGTGGGAGAGGAAATAAGTGTAGACATCCCATTTTTGACCGTCCTCAAGACTTGGACGTCATCGTTTGAATACTCGATGATCATCCATGTTTGTGTTCGTTTTGAGTTCCCGGAAGCCTCGGCCACACGCCCTGCCTCAGGATCTCTCAACTTGTCTGTTTTGTGCTTGGTTGTGGACCAAACACTTGTGTTTTTTCTTCCGAGGAAAGAGGATGGTTTGTTGGCCATCCCCTCAACTCACCGGCCAAGGCTTGAGGCCATCGGCCATGATTTCTTGCAATCAGCCAAAAGTGTTGGCCGGTCGGCACTTTATTTGGTCGGCCGGCCCTTGTGTTGGTCGATCGGCCATTTTTGCTAGCCGAACCCTGATCATCTGCTTTATGTAGATATTTTGTGCCAGCCGGCACAGCTAGCACCCACAATTAGCCCCCTCCATACACGTGTATGGAGGGATTGGCCCTTTGCTTAGCTTCTCTTAGAAGCTTTAGGAATTGAACTTCTATAAAGAGGGAGCTCCTCCTCCCTCCTCAAGGATTCAAAAAAATGGCCTGGAGAGGATAGATATAGTTTTGTATCTATACTTCCTTGTTTAGTCTTGTTTTGTGACCTAAAGTGAGTTTTTGGTCTTACTTTTGCACTTGAACACCTAGCATTACACAATCCTTGGGTTACTGAGGTGCTAGAGGGTTGTTATTAGGGTTCTTGAGCTGTTTTTTATCAGAGAAACCTGCTGGAGTTTTGTTCTTAAAGAGGTTCTACAAGGGTGAGTTCCTTGCTTTAGATACCCCTTTCTTACTTAAGCTTTTAGCCCTCCTTGCTTATTGTTTTAAGCTTAACTTATAACTGATAAAAGTTTTTTTTTTACTTGCTTTAGAACTTTGTTTAAGGTCTCTTCTTGGTTTGGGGTTGTTTACCCCCTCCAAGGCCTTGTTAGGACTTGTTTTAGGCCATCCCTTTTGGCCCTTGCTTTAAGCTTTGCATGGCCTCTCTACCACTGAAATCTAGAGGATTTTCAGTGGTGGAGAGGTGGTTTTGGTGTCCTAAATAGGAGAGGGTCATCCCCTCTCCTTGTTGTCTTGAATGCTTCCATAAATGGCTTATGTAGGTAGCATGTGTGCTTAGCTTGTTTTAGCCTCATTTCAGCATGTATTAGGCTTTGTTTTGCCATAATACACCTCTATTTTGAGTTGGTTTAATGGCCTCTTACATGTTTCATGTACTTGTCATTTAAACCTCTTATTTGCCTTAACATGCATCATGTTGTAACATGTCAATTTAGCATGATTTTGGCTCAACTCCATGAAACTTTTAGCCTTGTTGTGGCATGGTTAAGCTCTGTTTTTCATTATTTTGGTCATGCTTGCATTGTTTTGTATAGCCACCATGCAATCTAGCTTGTTAGCTTTGAGTGTTCAAGCCATTAGCATGCCTTATTTGACTCATTTCAGTGATTTGGCATCACTTGTCATGTTATTTCAGTCCATATAGTATGCTCGTACACTTACACTTAATCACTCCTTTAATGCTTTAAAGAGTTGGTGTGTTATGCTACATGAATGTGTCATCGTGTATGCCACTATGCTTAGGTCATTTAGACGCCATCTAAGTATGTTTTTGGTCTTGTTTTGACATGCCATAACTCTGATTTTGGTTGCTTAAATCATGCCATGTTTGGTTTTGATAGGTGTAGTGTAACACCTCTTTTGTGGCCTTGTATGCTTCGTGCTCTTGCCCCTTTGTTTTAGCTTGTTTTGGCTTTGGTCATTGCATGTTTTAGCCTCACTTTGGCATGCTTTCGGACTGTTTTGGGTTATGCTTGCCATATGCTCTTTGTTTTGTGTAGCTTTGGTTCAAGTGCCTTTGCTAGTCTTAGGTTTTAAGCCTTAAGCATGCCATGCTTGATTTGTTTAAGTGTTTTGGCATCATTCCTAGCATCATTTCAGAGCACGCAATGTTGTCACACTTGCATGCTTTTCATTCCTTTTGAGTGTTCTTAAAAGTTGCCCTTTGATGCTCAAGTGTTAGGCCAATTGGCATGCATGTTTGTATGCGCATTTGTCCTCATTTCCATTACACTTTGGCCACTGATTTTGGGCATGGCTGAGGTCTGTCCCTTTTCGGTTTAAGTCCATTGAGTATGTGGTTTGCATGTTGTTTCATGCTTGATTTTTGCATGTTGTTGCATGCTTGGTACATTGCATGTTTGCGTGTTTAGGTTGCATAACATTGTTGCATACTAGTTGACATGCCCATGTTACATTAGCTTAGTTTGCATGCTTGTTACATTTCATTTGGCATACTCATGTTGCATTGCATTGCATTTCCATGTTGCATTGTATTTGGCATACTTGTGTTGCATTGTGTTTGGTTTGGGTGTTAAGCCAAACATGAGGAACGAGGGACGTTTCATACTTGAAGTGATGAAACGTGCCTCAATCCTCGGTCGCCGACACTTTTGATCCAACATGATAAAGTGCGAGGCATTTATGTGTTTTTGTGCATTCATTTTACATTGAATTGCACACTTGGCTCATTTGGCTATCATGCATCGAGATGCGTGATTGGTGGCCCGAGGGTCGAGCATTACACTCCTTTGAGCCTTAAACATGATAAGGGATGTAGTTGCATACATCTTTTCTTGCAAATGTATCGCCATGCTCTGTTTGTCCTCTGCTGCAGCAAAACAACATTCTGCAAGAAGAAATGGCTGGTCGGCTACTTTTAGTGCTGATCGGCAAACCATGGTTGGCCAACAGCTCCATAATTGGTCGATAGCACCTTCCCATTGGCCGATGACCACTCCTCTTGGCCAATGGCCTCTCACAGTGTACAGGAAGTGATTCTGGAGCATCACAGAGACTTGTGTAGTCTTCAGAGGTACAGAACAGTGCAAACAGAGGCAACATGTAGCATGGCAATGGATTTTCGACCGAAGCCGTTCGAGCATGCATACATCCCTCGCCTCGAGGCCATTTCAGTGTTTTAATAACTTAGAATAGTTATTTATGTCGATTTGGTTGTGTAATTAATTAATTAGCTTGTTAGTTGATTAATTAGTTAATTTGTATTATTCTTTCGGACCCTCTGTCGAGAGGGCGAATTTTGTAATAAGTGTGCGTGCGTGTGTGAATGTCTCCCAACCTCACGTCTTTCTCCCTTTTACTTACCTGCTTTCAATGGTTAGTTTTAGGTCATGTTTCAATTAGCATTCTTATGCTCGCATGCTTGCATCATTCATCTGTATTGCATGCACCGGGCTCGACGCATCATACTAACTGCATAGTATTTCAATACCAATTTGAATACATGATTATCCAGTTGCATTTCACATGACATTTTAGAATAGCCGAGCCTATCTTAATTGCATTCTTGCATGTGTTGCATTAGCCATCTTAACATGAACTAGGATCATGCATTGATTACTAACTAGTTTCTGTTTTTGCTCGGATTACGCGGTAAGTTTTTATGCTTTAGCATCCTTGCATGTGTGTGAGTGACTGCCATGATAACATGCTTGCCATGAGGCTATTTACTTATGTGATATAGCTGCCTGAATATCTGTGGGTGAAGGTTAGATTATTTGAATTGGAACAATTCATCGAAATGCGAGTTTTAAGCCCACTTGAGAGTGGCAAGATCATGTTTTTCTAAGCCCACCCGAGGGTGGCAAACTCACGTCTTAGCCTACTTGCGAGTAGCACCTTCAAACCATTTTCAAACAAACAAACATGAGATGTTTTGTTCCAACTTAGGCGATCTAGTCTATACTTGTATGCTATGCGCATCACATAGTAATTCTAGGCTAATAACCGAAATAAGAACGCATGTGTTTTCAAAAACAAGATATCATGTTAGTAAAGGCTGATCTTTGATCGGACGAGCGGGGGTGCTCATTGCATGACCTTCCCCTCTCGTACCCAAGTTCCCGAGCCGAGGCAACTTTGGTGATGACGGACACGTGGCCTTAGGCAACGAGTCAGGGTTTCCTAAATTCTCCCAAAATAAATATTTAGGTGGCGACTCTGTATCTAGAAAAGTAGTCCATGTTTGGCACTTCTTTCTTAAAAATCAGTTTTCCAAAACGATTTGTCGGATTTGGACTCTTTGGTGATTTATCAATCTCACATTGCACATTGTGAGATCAGATTAAGAACCGTGACACATCGAGTCCGAACTGTAGCATGAGGCCCACGGGCGCGTCTACAATAAGGTTACGTTATGATGAAATTGTTGACTTCGAGATTTGGAATGGATTTTGGATAAAACGGGGATTTTACCCTAAATGCTTAAATATTTATTTTGTACAAATAAATAGAATAAATGTTGAAAAATGTGAAATTGGGTGGATGTTGATATGGGTGGTGGAGTTGGTTATGTATTACTGCTCACACTTTGAAATTTGGATAATTTATCGGTCTTGGAGATTGTATGTTTGTTTAGAAATATCTATTTCAGGCTATCGGTGGAGGATAGCTATGATTGTCGTAGAAACTGCATGAGAATTAGGCGAATTGAAACTAATTTCTCATCCATTTGCATTGAGCGTTGTCACACCTTTAATACATTGTAAATGTATGATGTTTGGGAGAAGAAAAGGGTTGTATTCCATATTTGGGAGAAGAAAAAAATGTACTCCATTAAATTAAGTTAGCCAGAGTGTCTAGGGTGAAAATCTTGAAAATCGCGAATATATATCGATACTGATTACCGCGGATGAAATATCCGTAAAATGGCAAATGGAAGTGTTTGTATGATGGTTGTACTGGTTAGAGACTTACTAAGTTGTATCCTCAGTTTGGTTGTCTGAATAAAATGGAAATAACTCATGAATTGAGATAAAATTGATCGACATACAAAGCTTGACATAATATGGTTTTGCAAAAGAATTATGAATGATTTTATCATAGGCATCGTATGTGCATATCACACTTATATCTTTGTTAAGATTCATATATTGTGATAGATTGTTTCTACTAAGCTTTAGCTTACCTTATTTAGGGAAAACCATTTTCAGGTACTGGTGATATACCTCCACCAAGGACTTAGCTTGAGAGGACAGTAGAGCTGTATGCTCAGTTGTTTATTTTGTATTCATTTTGTTACAAGTTTAGGCCTTTACTTGTATTGAGCTTAGACTCATTTTTGATATAACCAAGCATTGAGTTGGAAAGACATAAGCCCTTAGGGCATATGATTACCTGTTTAACTTTCAACTGTATGCATTTCGAAATCCAAAATTCCTGGAGACTTGGCATAACCCCTTTTTCTATAATAATCTCATGTAACTGGGGGAAGTTCCCCAAATGCAAATCTCTAAGTTTAGGGAACCCAATACTAAAGCATAGCTGTTGTCTTCCTTCACGCGAATTAATAAGAGTCAATTTTCCCAAACTGGGAAGTTCTTGGATGTAAGGAAGAAGGTCTTCTTCCAGTCTAGACCAATGCAAATACAAAAGAGTGAGATTTTGAAGTGAGTGGAACCAACGGGGAACTTTCTCCAATTTTCCAACTAAAATGAGCTTCTTGAGATAGGGAGGAGCTGATGAGAGTTTATCCATTTGAAGGCATTCATTCTCATCACTCACCATCACAAATAAGTAATGAAGGAGATTCACTTTTTGGATTGCAATACACAAATCCACCTCATCTGCTTCTCTCAGCTTTGTAATGCCAATCCTCTTGAGCTGCGTCATGTTCCTTACTCTCTTCATCAAGTCTGATTCTGCTTCTACGCATGCCAAAACTTGCAAGTTTGTTAGCTTGCAAATATTAGCTGGTGCTGCTGTACCATAAACATAATCAAACTGATTGCCATCTCCATGCTTGTTGTAGCGGTACATAATTAGATGCCGCAATTTCTTCAACCTTGTGATTCCAGTTGGGAGAACTTGTATTTTGGAATCCCTAATGTCTAAAGTTTCAAGGTTGCAAAGTCTTCCAATGGATTTTGGAAGTTCCTTCACCTTTGTTCTTTTCAAGTTCAAGTACCTTAAATTGAAAAGATCCACAAGCTCATTTGGTAATTTTTCGATTGGTACATCCTGCAGATCGAAGACTTTTAACAGTCGTAAACCTCGTGGCAATGATATCTCATCATCATAAAATACAAGAAGAGACCGAAGCTGTTGCAACATGCCCTTCCATGATTGGAATTCTCCACCATTTGTTTGAATCGATAAGCGACGTGCTCCGGTTCCACTTTCTTCCTTATCTTCTTTGCCATCATATACTACACAAAACTTCTCAGTTTCTGATTTGGAAAGGGCAATTTCTCGCACAAGATCGTGCATCTTACATTCTTTCGGCCTACCTGATGGGTTCCTCCATATGACCTGAAGCATGCTTCGACAAACTAGATCCATAAGGTAGCCATCTGCTACTTCCTCTACTGTTAATCTGTCTCTCTTTCCTACAAATCCTTCTGCCATCCAAAGTCTAATGAGCCTCTTCCGTCGAATCGGATAATCTTCTGGGAAAAGGCAACAATATAAGAAGCATTGCTTTAGTTGGTATGGCAATTCATGAAAGCTATACAACAAGATAGTTTTCACTACTTCTAGCTCAGGATTATAGCTCAACTCCCGGCTCAAGCTATTATAAGCTTTTCTCTAATCCGATTCCATATGTTTGGTGGACATGACACCACCCAAAGCTATAATTGCAAGAGTTAGTCCTTCACATTTTGCAACAAGGTCATAAGCCAAGGATTCGAGCTCTTTAGGACAACATCTACTATGGTTGCTCGAAAAAGCTTTCATACAAAGAGATCCCACGCGTCATCCATACTCAAAGGGTTCATACGATGAATATGACGTTTAACCCCAAAGTTAAAGGAAGCTACGTCTTTCATTCTAGTTGTAAGGATGACCCAACTTCCTTTTCCTTCATCTGAAAGTGATACACTTATATCATACCAGAGGTTATAACTCCATACATCATCCAAGACAATTACATACCTTTTTGATTTTAAATAGTTGGAAATCATCTCGAGCAACTCTTTGTGGCTCTTACTACTTAAATCCAATGGAACTGCTTCCTTGGTAACTGGGTAAAATTTCTTAATCATGCTTCTAAGTAAGTCATCAACTACATAAGTTTGAGACACGGTTATCCATACATAGCAGTGGAAATGTTACTTGACAGTTTGGTTGTTATAGACCTTTGCAGCTAGAGTGGTCTTGCCTGAACCACCCATGCCGACAACAGAAATAACAGTGCACTATAGTTCTTTGTCCATCAACCAGTCCAATAGTTGTTGCTTTCTATCTTTGATCCCCACTAGATCATCATCTTTAAAAAATAAAGGGTCCTCAGCGTTGTTTAGCTTTCGTCCCTGATGATCATGGGAGCCAGAGCCGGAGCCAGAGCCGGAGCCTGAGCCTGCTCCTCCTACACGATAGACCCCACAACGTTGGTTTCTTTCTGGGATGGCTTTGATCATGTTGTTGATCTTCTGCAACTGTGTGGTTATTCGATGTCTTACCACAGATTCTTTGGTGCAGAGACTATCTGATAGAGGAGCCTTCTGAATTTGCATTGAACTTCTTGTTTGTTCATGTGATACATGAACTTGTCTATGCTATGTTTTGCCTTGTAGGTCAAGTCTCTAACATTGTCCACCCAGGTCTTCTCTTCTTCTGTCTGGGTCGTCGTTCTATTGGCATCTTTTAAGAAAGATCTCATGCTTGATAACTCCTGCTGGAGTTGCTTGAGTTGATCATGAATTCCTCCAATCAATGATACTTCGCTTTCAAGTGCAGAAACTATCCTCCCAATCAAAAGTTCCACCGCTGCTGAGGCCATTTTTGCAATCTATTACCACCTTCTCCACTCTTTCGTTACTTCTTAACACCCTGCACTTTTAAGTCTGAGTTAGTTCTGTTGGAAATCAAACTCAATTTGAGTTTGATAATGGTGATTTTCAGAAAAGAGATGAAGTGCTAGAGAGTTTCAGAATGAAGAAGAGGAGTTTAGAATGATGTAAAAGAGAAGAGGCAGCTTCCATAAGGTTGCCATGGTAAAAAACTTAAGGGTAGAAAAACACTAAAGCACACATTGATTATACACGGATTGAAAATCTATAAATAGATAGGTTGTATGTTTGTTTGAGATAGAGTGGGAGAAAAATATAATCTTCAGGGAGAAACATAACATCTCCAGATAGGGAGAATTCTAAAAGAGTAGAGAGTATGAGAGTTTACAGAGAGTTTGCTCTGTTTTATATAATTTGTTTCTGATTGAATAAAATAAGTGTTTATTCAATTTTATTCCTCTCTTTGTATATCTATACAACCGGTATACACCTATCTCCCACTTTCAACAGTTGCAGCCAATTTGGGCCAAAAAAAATCAAAAACTAAGATGAAGATAGGAGTTTTTAAAATTTGCCCAGATTTCGAAGTGGTCGAAATTCAAATTTGATCACACCAGGTTGAAGCTCGCAACAAGATGAGCACAGAAAAAAAAATAAAAAATAAAAAAAATCGCGTCAAAAACTAAGCCAAGAGGAGCTCGCAGGCGCGCCACGCGCCGGTGACGCCGTTCTTACGCATTGCAACGTGACGCACGCGCCCCACGTGCGAACAAGAGGAAGAAGACGAGTGAGAAACATAAACCAAAGGAGCTTTTATGGCAAGGTGGTTAAGCCTTACCCCTTCTTCCAAAGGGCGAGGGTTCAAAACTTGGCAGTAACAAATTCAAGCATTTTTTTTCTTTCTTATTCACCAAACCATCAGGAGCCAAGACCGAGCCGTCACCAAGCTGTGAGCCGCTGAAGTCACTTGGCGTCATTGTATAGAAATTCATAAGGAATAGTCCAGTGTTACGTTGTTGAGTTGTAACCGTGTATCAAGACCATCGAATTTATTTTGGCTTGATCTTAGCCATTCAAAGTCCGATTACAACAATCCAATAGTGCTTTCCAACTATTTGGACAATTCCGGGCTCATTTGTACGGTCATATTATGCAAATTCTATACCAAAAATTTACAAATTTATTATGGCAAGTTTGAGTGTGCCAAGTATTATTCCAAAGCTTGCCAAGGATAATTATGAGAACTGGAGCATTCAAATACGAGTATTAATAGTCTCACAAGATGTGTGGGACTTAGTAGATCAAGGATATGAAGAGCCAACAAGCCCAGAAGATGAAGAACGGCTAAGAGAGACACAAAAAGACTCATTGAGAGAGTTAAGAAGAAAAGATCAAAAAGCCTTGTAATTGTTGGAAATAATGGTTTTTATAGGCTTATTTTGGGCCAACTTTGAGCCCAATTTTGAGTGGGCCCCAAACGTCTTTTGGGGTGGGTCTAAAGAGGTGACGTGTTCCTTGCCGCATGACAAGTCACACGATGAAGACGATTCGTCAAAACCATTTATGAGTGAATGGGAACTTGACGTTGTTTTCGGGTTCGTGAAATAGACAATTAAAGAATTAAATGTAGGTTTCCTTGTAAGACTTGTCCCACATTGAAACTTTAAGAGAGCTTTTGTGAGTATATAAGCTTTAGAAGTATAACCTTGGGTTGGGTCCCAAGGGGCACCCCAAGTTTGTAGAATGAAGGAGTTATGGACAAATTGAACCTTGGCTCAAACCATCACACGCGCGCGCGCGCTGCCGCTGCCGTCCGTCTGGCCGAGCCGAGCCGTACCGTACCAGGGGTGTGGGTTGTGAGTCGGGTCGGTTCTAATATTAACGAGATTAATTCAAATTTTGTGTCGAATTTGAATTTAATTTTTTTGTCCAATGTTACCTCTTCTAGTCCAATTATTCCAAACAGGTTAAATAGTCCAAACAGTTTTCAGATCTGTTGGAACCCGAACAGATTTAAAACTGCGAGACAGATTCAAATCTGCCAGCAGTTTTCCAACAGATAGAAATTGCCCAGTAGTTATCTATTGCAGCTGTTCATTCAAAAAACCTACCTATTCAAGTTATTTTTCAGACCTGTTCAGGTCTATTTATACCAAGGTATTCCAATAGATTTTTCTTCCCGAAAAATTGATTTTCTTGCTTTCATTTTGCTCTCATGCATTATTATTCTTCATTCTAGTTTTAGAGGAAAATTTCAGAGAGTATAGAACACAGGCTTTGTTCGCCATACAAATTGTTTTGAGTGCTACTACAATTTGTGAAGATCATTGTATCCTAGGAAATAGACGCCTTTTAACCGTAAACACCGTAACGGGGCGAATCTATCTTAAGAAAAGAGTTTCACACACTCGACTTGATCTTTTAATTATTTATTTGGTTTGGTAAAATAAATCCTGTAAGTTATTTATTTTATTTGTTTGATTTGGTTTCAATTTATTTATTTTACACAGAAGATTGTTCCAACAGTAATTGATTTATCAAAGCATTGACGAGTCAAGTTTTGAGAAGATATCAGCTACAACTACTTCCAAAGAGGCGTGGAATATTCTTCAAAATTCACATCGAGGAATTGAAAAGACCAAGAGGATTCGACTCCAGGTATTAAGGAGGGAGTTCAAACTATTGCACATGGAGGATAACGAGGCCATTTCAGAGTATTTTGTGAAGACTCTAACTATCGTGAATCAAATCAGACGATATGGAGATAAGATGGAAGAAATTTAAGTAATTGAGAAGATACTTTGATCCCTAAGTTCAAAGTTTGAGCATGTCATCGTTGCCATAGAAGAATCAAAAGATTTCAACGACTTGATAGTTGAAGAGTTGCAAGCAACATTGGAAATCCATAAGCAGAGGATAACAAGAAGACTTCCGTAAGTTCTCTAGACCAAACTCTTTAAGCGAGTGTGACATTAATTAAGGAGGAATGAACAAGAGCAATAGAGAACACCACAGAGCGGTAGTGAAAGAGGTTGTAGACGAGAGAGACATGGTCCCAGAAAGGGGAACAGAAGTCAACAGATGGTTGACACCTCCAAACAATAGATGGTTACTTCGAGATGAAGAAGTCAACAGAGAATTGACAAGAGAGGACAACAGAGGTTTGTTCCATGAGAAAGAGGTCTTGACAGAGGATATATACGTTGCTATAATTTCTATGTGTATGGCCACCACAAAAGTGAGTGCACAGAGGAGGTGCAATGCTACAACTGCAAAGGATATGGGGCACTATAGTCATGAGTGCATTGAAAAAGAAGATCGAGTTAACTTTACAGAGAATAAAGAAGAGATGTTGCTACTGCCATACAATGATGCTATCAGCAAATTGAGTTTAAGGGGGGATGTTGGAAATCAAACTCAATTTGAATTTGATAATGGTGATTTCTAGAAAAGAGATGAAGTTGTTGGAGAGTTTCAGATTGAAGAAGAGGAGTTCAGAATGATGTTGAAGAGAAATTAAAAAATTAATTAAAAAAATCATTGCGAAACGAGCACCGAGTTAGTTCTACTGTAGTTTTAGAGTGAAGCACCAATTGTGGAATTCGTCATCGAGGACTCTTCCTTCCGTTGACTGTGGGTTTGCTTGGATTTTTTTTTGTTTTTTGTGTTAGTTCGTGTGTCATGTTCACGTAATGGACCTACACAGCATTATTGATGAGGGATTGTAATTATTTAGGCTTCCTTTGTCAACTAACGGTAATTTTTTTGGTAAATTACATATACACTTAAAAATGAAATTGACAATAAAAATAAAATTTTTAACTACTCTCTTATATAATATTAAATTTTTTTAATTATTAATTAAAATATATTTATGACATTATTAAAATTTGTTAATAAACTTGATAATTTATTGAAAAAATGAGTTATTTGTTATGAAATTAGAAATTTCAGAAATCGAGATGTAATTTCAAAAATTATAAAAGCAATTTATATTTTAAGTAAATTTTAAGAGTGTATTTATAATTTCTCTTAACTTTTTTATTAGGATAAAATATGCATGTATCTCTTACTATTTGCTTAAAATAAGTATTGCCTTTTATGATTTTATAAATTACAAATATCAATTTATTCTATGTTTTTATTTAACATAATTAACAGAAAAAATAAATTTTTTAACTACTCTTCTATACAATAAGAAAAATATCTAAATTATTAATTGAAATAATTTCTAATATCATTAAAAACTGTGA